CCCCCCGCCCCCCCCCCCAACACACTTCCCCAATTAGCTTCATTATTCTCATAAACTCTTGTTGACCTGTCAGTCATCTCTATTACTGAAGTTTTGATAGTTCAAGGCAACTGTTTGGATGATTCAGGTAATCATTAAAGTCTGTATACATGGTTGCTGCTAGAGGTTTCTCCCATATTAACGATGGGTGCAGTGGTAATGCCCAGAATAAAGACTTCTTCTTGCGGTACATGAGGAATAAACACAGTCTGCCTGAACAATCCCACCTTGACTGCAAGTTGCAGGGACAGCTGCGTAACATGGCAAGACAGGTGAGGATGAAAAACGATCACCGTGTAAGTTATCAGAATGAAACAACTCTCAACCAATCAGAGCTGTGCTACAGGTCTGCAAATCCCACTTTCAAATTTTGAGACTGCTACAGTTTTGCTTAGATTTGAACTCGATGCTCAGAATAAGAACTGCAAATATAAGGACAACAGTAGTTAAAGAATTTATTTTCCTGTCTGCAGTCTCCAGTGCTGGGGTCGTCCTCTTGCACACCACTGAATGAATGAATGTGTCTGAACGAGCCTGCACAACGGGAAGAAGTCGCACTGCACTGCAGGTAGGTCATGCACGGAGTAACATGCACTTCCTCAGCTACAAGGAGTGCCTGGTCATCTCTGCCCAGAGAGAATGGGTCAGACACCAGGCTGGAAAGAGCGGAGTCCTATTTGGTCCTTTTGGGTAAACGAGCCTCGACCTCAGTTTAGAATTGTTAATAAAGAAGAACTCTGATAGGCACTGATCATGCTCACACTGGCTGATGAATAGAGGTTGGGAGATGGTGTGGAGAAAGGAAGGCTGAGGAACAAGTCTGCCCAAACACCAGGGGAGGCCTGGAACTGTGCGAACAGCTACAGAGCAAGCTGGTTCATTGTAACAGATCAAAACGTAAGAAGGCAAAGCAAGATGCAGCAGATCCACCAGACACAACTAGACATCTGGGAGGAAAAAACCCTGGTAGTCCAGTTCTGCACTCATCTTTTCCATGACAGCAGGACCAGTCTCATGTCTGCCATCTAGCCAACTTCTAGCCAGCCAGAGCCTTTTTCCCCCCTGATTTTGGCTCATCTTTTCCAGTGGTTTTGCTCCCTGGCTTTGCCTTTTGGTAACACTGACATTAGACATTTGAATAAATAATAATTTAAACAGACTGGCATTGAATTTTGATGTCAGAAGCATTTTTCCACCACAGGGGTGCAAGCTGCTTGCCAGTCACCAACAATTTTATTTGGCAAAAAAGAGAGGGATTAAAAAATAAACAGGGTAGTCAGATTTGCAATGGCTACCTGTCTTCTGTGTATTATTTCTCCAAGAACTACAGAACGTTGTTTGGAGTGATTCTGCACATAGTGTCTTCCACTGGCTGCCCATGGCCTGAAATGCCAGGGATCTGAATCAGGGTCACAGAAGCCCCCTGACACAGCAGAACTACAGGCATGTTTAGGCACATGCCTGACTGTGAGTTGCTTATTTTGCAGACTGGCAATTTAAATGAGAGTCCAAACAAGAAGCAGGCATTTGATTTGGATGTTACTACTTCAAACATTTCCAAAACCCCTCTCGGGTGAGTCACAACACCTCCCACTACCTAAAACCTTTAGATGTTTGTGTCTAAAACTGGGAGTTACAAGGTTTACCCTTCACAGTCAAGACTGATACAAGCCAAGTGTTATAAACCAATAATGTTACTATAAGCAGTAAGAGCTCAGCTGTGAATCACTGGAATGCAGTGACTAACCTCTGGTGGAAATCAGAATTTGTTGCCTTACCTACAATTTTCTTTCTTAACTCAGAAACACCAGGAACAAACTATATCTGTTCTGTCTTAAGTGTTCACCCAGGAGGAAGAAGAGCAGAAACACTGATCATTTATAGTAATAGCTTGAAAGGATTGTCAGGTGAAAAAATACAATCATTTTATCATCTCGGTTTCTGCTAATAAATGAGTACAATCACTTTTTGATCAGGCTTTTTTAGTCTAGCTTTTGTCCACTCTCTAAAACTATAGGATGTGCAAAAACACTGCAAAAAATCTTGCTCTGGTGTACAAGAAATTTAGAAAAAAAAACCGAGGAAAGAACAATGTACAGAATAGATCTGGATGACAGTCATTTCAAAGGCAAAATTATTACAGGCTATTATCTAGTTGTCTGGAGGAGCTGTGGACCAGCTGGCTGTGATGTTCTGCTCAAAGTTAAACACAGACAGGAAACCGCATGTCTGATACTGTAAAAATCGTTTGTCTTCCTGCCATGGCTAACCAGGCAAGCAACCCAAAGGGGCTGTTTTCATTTAAAAGAAACACTAATCCACAACAATAAAAAAGGAATGACAAAGCCTCAGTTCTCCCCCTCCCTACTGGAGTTAATGCTTGTGTTTGTGAATGAACTGGAAATGTTACAAACTGAAGTTTTACATTACTTTAATTTTTATCTGTAGTTATTCATTTACTACATGTGAATGCAGTGCACAGTTTTCATGAGTCACCTAGAGTGCTTACAGCACATGACTTAGAAGGAAAAGCTCCGCACCTATGAGTGAAAGGAATTAAGGTAAAAAGACCAGGTTTTAATTTATACTACAACTCCTTTTAGGCTGCTCTGGAAGTGTGAGGAGGGCTGCAGAGTTGATGGGAATGAAGACACTTGGTGTTGAATTTATAGAACAGTTTTCATAAGCATACACACAAAAGACACATTTGTCAGAGTGATTGTATTCAGCTACATAGCTGCAGGAGAAAGAGATATAATATGACTAATTTATAACAAATTAGCCAAAACCTACAAGGGTGTGGTTCACTCTGTATAAGAATTCTAGGCAGCTGACACAGAGTACGATCTTTACATGGTGAACACGTTCTCTTCAATAAAATCAAGGCAATCTGTTAGAATTAGGTCCTGGGTCTACCATCTGTGCTCACAACAATACAAACACTTACTTCAACTCCTTTAAAGCCTGCCCAAGTAAGTGTTGGTCATACAACTGTGTTGTCTGGTTTCAAATCAAACTTGGAGAGGGGATGAGGAAGAGGGGAAGAGATGGCACCAGATATGGGTAGCCTGGTCCAAGGGAGGCAGAGACTTTCTAAGATGCTCTTGGCTAATCTGGTGTGGTTTTGCAACCTAAACTAGTTAGCCTTCTTGGAGGGATGGGAACTGAGAGCTAGAAGCCACTCACATAGTTGTCCGTGTCAGTGCAATCACACACCATGTCTCCCAGGAGTGGAAACTGTGTCCCAACCTTTCATTATCTCAGATTAACTAGGATTTTTGATTATAGCCTTTTCTAAGGAACGTACAGGTGTTCTGTGCCATACTCATTTACAAGTGTGTGCACAGAGTGTTCTCAACAGGAGGCCTCACACTTGCCTGAGACCTGACTTAGTAAAAAAATCATTGTGGGATCCAGCAAGTAGGACAAAATAAAGTGCAGTGTGTGCATGCACACATGCACATGTGTGTGCAGCATGAGGTCCACCAGCACTGTACACACCTACGCTGCCTTTACTGAATTTGCAGTGGTCTATATAGGCACTCATGAAGTAGAATGGAGACAGGTTATACACTTGTGATTTGGTCTATACTCAGATTTCACTGGTTTAACTGAACTCACATACATGCCCTTTTGCTGTAGTAAGCAAGATGTAGTGAAAGAGCCTTCTAGCTCCTTCATGTCTACCACAAAACAAGTGCAGATGGTCAGTGACAACAGAGAAGCTGACTTCAAATTCACATCCTATCAAGTTACTCGCTAGTATCTGTATATACAGATGCCACACTATGGCAATACAGCCTTTTAGAAGAGGCAAGACCTTAAATACGGCATTTGCGTCTTGTTTATGTTTTATAATGTAATTAGCATATGTTGAATTTTGGTGTGTCAACAGACCAACTCTGAACATCTTGCTTTCATCTTTCTTTTCATCAACTTTTCAGAACAATGTCTTGAGCTGAGTATCAGACTTATTTCAAAAGGAGGACAGCCTGGCAGGAAGAAATATCCTCTGAATGCAGACAAGAAAGGTTGAAATTTTGCAAGGCTTGGAAGAGTCCAAAATATCTCCTGCCACTAGAAATTTTCCTCCACAAAATGTGATTCCAAAATCCCTTGGAATGACAGTTCATATTACTTGCAAGGTATAGCCTAGGAATGCAGCGTAAATTATTAAACCTACCTGTTGGGAAAATGAGCATATCATTGCATTCTTCACCTGTACAGGAACACATGAACATCAATCCCCCATCTTCCTTCTTTTCCCTCATCAAACACTGCTCTGAGCTGGAGTCATCCAACATGTGACCATAGAGTGTTCTCTGCGGATCATGGCATATTGTTTCTAATGTCACATTTTCATCATTCTGTCTCCTAAAAATGAAAAGAAGATAACTGAAATCAAAGAAGAAATATTTTACACAGGGAGCAGACAAGACTGCACCTGCCCAAAATTTGCCTCTTTTAAGAATGCAAATGGGATTTAAAGAGTATCATATATTCTTCTCTGGCTTTCCTGAATGGGGTAAATGTGGCTGTGTCTAGGGCCCTCACACTGGGGCATCTGTAAAATGGCATAGCTATTCCTGTATCATATTACCACTAAGCTCCAATGAGTGCCTTTGAAAATCTCACCCAGAATTATTCAAAATCTGAGGAATTCCTAGTGAGTTGGTCTTTTTATTTTGCTTTTGAAGCCTACAATCAGCACAATTTCTGCACTGAAGTTATCTTTATAATTAAAAAAAAAACAACAAACCCCCCCAAACAAATGAAAACCCAGTACCAACCATAGAACTTGTACAAACTGGAGTTGCCTCACTGTCAGGGAAATATTTACAGCTGATAACTGGACCATATTCCTGTGTTTTGTCCTGGTCCACAGGTTTCACTTAATTGACACAAGACTCACAGGCAAAGAGCACTTTAGATTCAGTTCTCAGCTCACCTGCCTTTTGGATAAATTGGCATGAAAAAATCTAGAATGTACCTTAAATTGCACTTTGTATGATAATAATATATATTGACCACTTACTAAAGGAGCACGAGACAAATACGGAACAGCACACTGGACTGATCCTGCGTTTCAAGTCAATGGACACAACTAATGTCTCGATAAACTAATTAATTATTTATTTCTGTAAGTGGTTCTAATTATGTTCCTAGATCAGCAGTAATACTCAGTTCTGTTCCTTTTGTCCACTTATGAGCTCATTAAGATTGTTTCCGTTTTTCTTCCATTTACGGAAGAGCAAACCCCCAGTTTCAGACCAGAATACAAGTTTAGAGTCAACAAATCCTAAACAAGCATTACAACTCAGTTTCATATATCCTTAATTTCCCTGAACCAAAACATGCACTATATAAAAAGCACCACGCTTACATCAGAGTCACTAAATACACAGAAGATATTTTTTTACCATTAAGAGAAATTATTTCTATCTACACATGGTAAATAAGCCTCCTGTGATAGATCTACATAGTCTAGTTCACTTTGAAACCTGAGAGTGAATCGTCTTTCTTCAGCAAATGCCACCACAATCCTCTCTGAGTCTCAAATCTGTTTCTGCTCTGGGTGCTGTGGGTGGATGCAGCTTAATGGTTTGAGCAAAAACATGCCTCTTTTCCAATAACAGCATAAGCTGGAACAGAATAGCTTTAGAAGAAAAAAAGTCCCCAGAATACTTCATATCAGAATTATTGTTAACCTCAAGCAACTCTCAGTATGCTGAACACAGATATGAGCTGGAAGCAATAGAGCAAAGCCTGGTGAGGTGGCAGGGACATTCCAAATATCAGAATGATCAAGGAAAGTACTAAGTAATGATGAATGAAGGTGTGCTCCTCTCCCCATCTGTATGAGGAAATAACTTACCATATAGCAACACAGACTTCACTATTCTTCTCACAGATAGCAGTGATGTTGCAGTTGCTCTTGCACTGATGTTGGTTTGAGCAGGTTGTTACTTTAATGTCACAAAATTTGCATAGGTTCGGCATTTGCAATCCACTTTCCTTATTTCTGTCTACGGGTGACATAATTTCAGCTTAAGAAAAAGAAAAAGAGAAGGAAACTCAATAATGGTAGATTATCAGACTGTTTTACTGCTCATTATGAAGACAAATTTTTCATCAGCAGCAAACACTCCCTCCCACCTTAAATTAGAAAATCTTGGATCTTTCACAGCTACCAATTTTCTTTACAACAGGGCAAGTGGCACAGTGTCAAGACCAGGTTAATCAAAGTGAATTTGAAAAGGAAATCAACTTCTACTGACTTCAGAGGGAGCAAAGTTGCTTTGTAATTTACAGAATCAAGCTTATTCTGAGTCCAGTTTGCACTGAAAGAACTACTCTGCAGTCAACTCATTTGCATTATTCACAGGCAGCATATCTGTCCCGCACGTACGATATATTGCATTAAAGTCTGTGTGCCAGAGTAACTGTGGATACCATAGTGGGAATGCATGTTAGAGGAGTGACATCATTATGACATGGATCATGATGAATTTTGCAAGTTTGTCTTTAGTAAACTGAAGTATAACCTAGGAGTCATCCCTAATCTGATTACTGTTCACACAGAAAAACACGGAGCTGGAGCCGACATTCAACTTAAGGTAGATGGTCTGCCAGAGGTTGTGGGTGAAACGCAAGCTGGAAATGCGATAAGGCATCTGTGCAGCTGTATGTAATCTGCCACTGGAGTCTTCCTGGGCTAACTCAGGGGCACTTGAACTCAAACTAACTTGCAATGACAGTCTGTCTTGTAGAAGTCTGCTCTGACCCAACAGCTACATTTCTGCACAGGTTCCGACTCTTAGTACTCACCATCTGCTTCAGTGTGGTAGCAGTAAGGGAAGAGATATTTTTTGTCCCAGTGTATGAATTTCAGGAAATATATTTTTAGTTCAAAGACTATTTTGAAAAGTCAGAACAGAAAATGCCAACATAAACTTTTTTCTAAAGCTAAAATGAATATGCAACTATCTGAAGTGGAGCAGACTATCTACACCAGTTTCAGTCTGACTCACTTTGTAATATATTTGGAAAAGTAGGCTGAACCACTTTAAGGAGATACTGGGCTTCATATAGCACAGCCCTTCTCTCGTAGCCACCTGTGTGTTAATACTATGTTCATATTGCTCTCTGTGGCCAAGTGTTGCTAGTCAACCAGTAACAGGCAACCAGGGATTTGTAATTTCCCCCTCTCCCCTCCATTAGCTGAGAAATCAATTTTTTCCTTCTAGAACTTCACTATTTACTACCATGAGAATGTTTTATTACAGGAATTAAATATACATGCTTTTTCCAGAAGGAAATAAAAAGGCCTCTTGCTAACATTTTCAATCGATTTCTGAGCCATTGTGAGGGATAGAAAGAAAAGCCTTCCCTCCTCATCCAAATCATCATCCTTCCCATCACTAGCATGCTCTGGTACTGACCTAAGGTCTGATCTTACTGCCATTGTAATCAGTCGCAAAAACTCCCAATGATTTTAATGATATAGAAGAACTTCCTACACAGAGGGTAGGGTTAAGATGAGCTCACCGGGAGCACTTACTTGGGTGGAGAATACTGGCAGTATGTTATGGGCTGGCTGAATTGTAAGCCTGAGGTAAACATTTCTTATTCTTAATTATTTGTGTTGCAGCAACTCCCAGAAGCCATGCAGAAGAACAAAGCCTCATTGAAGTAGGTGTGGTAGGAACTCAAAAGGTCTTGAATCTAGTGTACTACAAAATATATGTTAATATAATCATCATTATGGCAAATTGCTCCTCTCTTCTGGATGGTACCTCTTATTTACCCCATGATGAAGAGGAACTAATAGCTGTATTAATTTATCCAGGTTCCAGTACTGATCGAAACAACCTGATAATGAGGGACTGTCCCTCTACCCAGTAAGAGACAATCCATGGTCCTAAAAGCCTGGATGAGCAAATATCAAGGGAGAGATGAAGTGACTCACCCAAGTTCACACAGGAAACCTGTGGCAGGGTGCCAAGCAGCTTGCAGATGAGCACAGGGGAAAGATAACCGCTGCTCAAACTGCAAAGACTTTAGCTGGATCTACACTGCTTTCAGCTCTGAGCTCATATGGCTCTGTGTTTCGCTGGGCAGCTGTGTCGCGATGGATGCCTCTGCCACAGACATAACTCGGTCCTCTCTAGTGCCCGCAGCAGCGAAAAGTCACATGTCCTTAGGTAAACTGGTTCAAGCACATTATGTTTGTTGAGAGTCAGGGCTTGCTCCTGTGCCATTCCTGGCCATGCCAGGTTCTGCCAAGACTCACCCACTGGAATAAACACATGGACCTCTTCCAAAGACAGATCTCTTAACCAAGTAACTTGATTTAAAAACAAAAAAACAAAAAAACCCCACAACAGACTATCTGGAAAGCAGCAATCCACTGCACGGTCACAAACCTTAATTTTCTAAATCAGAGTGGTAGGCCTTAAATCAATTACTAGCAAAAGGCTGGGTAGTTAGGACCAGCTAATTTCTGAACGGGTTAAATTAATGGCAAAATCTAATGGGGTTTTAGGACTTCCAGAACTGACTGCACTTGAATTCTAAATTCCCTAAAAAGTCTTGTATAGAGGCTGACAGTGCCTCTCTATTCATGCCTCTGACGGTTCAAGGTACTGGATAAACTACCCAGGTGGACAAACTTTCTTTCATGTTTCCACATCTGATTTAAAGTGAGACTGTTGTTTACTTTCCCTAATACTGTCACATTGCTCTAGCAGGTGTTGGTGAGTTGTTCATTAATACAGCTCAACTTTGCCCACTCTGATAATACAACTAGACCCAAATTAAAGCCAAGTTTGACTTTCCCCTATCAGGCTGATGCTGAAATCAACCTCTGCAAAGGGCCTGAGATGAAATCTGGAGTCGGATGTGAACATCAGCATCACTCTTTTCTGATCACAGCCTGCTATTAGACTCTGAGGACTTAGAAATCCGGGAAAGATTGGTCGCCTTCCAAGTCACATGAACTCAGACCTATCTCTAATCAACAAAAACCTGCTGGGAGAATGACAAGTTGGTAGGCTTCTTCCCTAGAGAAGTGTATTCACTCATTCCTTGAGGGGCCCACAAGCCATGAGTGGTTCATTAACAGCAAGATTCCTCCTCTTCTTGTAGTCACTTGAATGCCATCTCTAAAAATGCTTGACCATCCTGCTGTGGGCTTCATACCCCATGAGCCAACTCCTCAAGGTTTTTTTTCCCATTCAGACAACCAAAGTCACTTGAACACCGTGGACAGAAGCAAATTTTCATTTTGCATGAAAAAAAAAAAAGTGGCTATAATGGGAAAATCAACAGAGAAAACACAGATTTGCACATCTGAAGGAAGTAATTCTAAAATGTGTGCTTGTTTCCTAAAATTTGAGTTTAGCCACCTACTCTCTTATGTTAGTTTTCTTATTTTGACTTCTACAGGAAGCCTAATTCTAGCTTTCCTCGCTTCCTTATCCATGGAGAGGGTTCTAAATAAAAGACTGCGGTTTCTTGGCTATGAAGCTTTCAAGCAAACAGTTCAGCATAGATCAGTCACCGTGGTTAAAATGCATGGAACATGCAAGCCAACATGTGGGCTGGATATTATGGAAGAGACACCAGAGCAGCCACATACAAAATCAACTCCATGGATTCTGATAGAGCCAGGCTCGCAGGACAACACTTTTACTCTATGGTTCATGTATTTTTTACGATTTCTCAGGACCTTATAAACAGTACGCCTCACCCAAATTCTACTGACTGTCTTGAAGTTGTTTGCTTTGTGTCTGTTGTTTGTAGATCTGTAACTTCCATTGAGGCCTCAGGCTATACTTTACATTCCTCTTATTTTTCAGTGTCATTATAGAACTCTCAAAAGCCAACAACATTTAAATAGAGCCCAAACCAACATGCTGTCTTTTTGGGAATATCCACACTGGAAAACTTTATTTGTGTCTTAGGATACATTTCAGAAACAAGCAGCCAATTTGTCTTACTCCTATCTTGTAAAATACTGTTACTGCATTTCTCTCATCCAGTGCCTCTGGCACACGTATACATATAAAATAGCATTGCTGAGCAGATAGATCCCATCCCTTAAAAAAAAAAAAAAAAAAATGCTGAGGGAGATGTTGGGATGGGAACTCAAGTACTCAGCTGCTGTGAAACAATTCCACCTGATGGGAGAAATTGAATTTAAGACTTCACTCTACTGCATCATGGAAACCCTCAAGGGGAAGGATGCCTTTATCAGAAAGCCTTGAAGATTGTCCTTGTTGTCCCAAAGGGCACAGCTCCATGACATCATATCTCAGTGGCTGGAAAGCACAATAGCAGCTATGAAGAATGTCCAAGCTGTACTACCTTCTCATCCAACAGAAAGAAAGAAAGGTTCTGCCAGGGACAGTACTAAACATGGCATTTTTTCTATTTTGCATGCTGCCCCAATACACGATCTGTAAGCTCAGGGGAACTTTGACAGTGATGGGGACACTACCAGCATCATGAAAGTGGAGCGGTGATGATGCAAAAGCACATTCTTTGCCTTACAAATATTGATGAAGTAATTGCAGGAGGGAAGGAGTCAAGGCAGATGTGTGATCTGAGCTTTGCTTTTAAGACCTGGATATAGCCTGATGGTTCTGTGTACTATTAATACAAGGAAGAAAAGATGCAACCATAATCAACCCCAAATATTCAAAAATCATGAGTTACAAAATCATAAGACTAGTCAGAGACATCACAGAAATAAAGGAAGGAAAAAAAAACCCCAGACAAAACCTAACCAAAACCCAACTGCTCGGTTCTCCTCTATTTGCCATTGCTGCCTGGACTCTTACAGCGTTTGAGTCATGTTTTGAAACTTTGGCCATAAGCAGGAAGGTTGGAATTACTGTCTAACTTACAAAATGAAAAGATAAAAAGAAAATAAATCACTGGAATCCGGGAGCTTGATCTTCAAGAAAAATGTCAGCTATCATATGACTCACCATAAAATCACAGGAGTTGGCAACACTTGCAGATCAGCTAATAAGTCC